ATACTACCTTTGAAACTGCTGCACAAATCTATTAGGTTATTAAGTATGAAATGTCCGATTTCCTGAAGTACTAGATTTGACAGTTGATATCACTGACATTTCACTTTGACACTTCTTGGTTTTTTTTTTTATTGTGAAGTTACTTCACAATAAATGTACAGTTTGGCTTCTGATTATCTTTCACATTTTTTTAGAGCAATTTTTGTGAAACCATGGATAAGTCAAAAATGCGTGTTATTTTTGAATATGAGTTCTGTCATGGAACCAATGCAGCACAGACAGCTCAAAATATCAATGAAGTGTTTGGGAAGGATGTGGCTAATGAACGCACACAGCACATCAATGGTTTGAGAAGTTCCATTCTGGTGATTTTAATCTTGAAAATGAAACCTGGTCAATCTATCACAGTGGATGTCTATTGCAACCAACTGGACAAAATGATGAGGATGCTTGCAATTAAGTAGCCGAGATTGGTCAATAGAGATAGGCCAATCCTCCTGCAAGACCATGCGTCGCACAAACATCACTGCTCAAACTACAGAAGCTGGACTTGGAAACTCTGTCATCCACTGTATTCACTAGACCTTGCACCAACTGACTACCACTTCTTCCAGGCTTTGGACCGCTTCTTACAAGGAAAAATATTCAATCCTCAACAACCTGTGGAAAACACCTTTTGCAATTTTATCGCCACTCGCTCTCCAGGCTTCTTCACTGGTAGCATAAACAAGCTACCATTAAGATGGCAAAACTGTGTTTATGGTTTAGGCGCATACTTTAATTAATCATACTTCTTCTTGTTTGAGATATAATAAATTACACTTTGATTCGAAATCGGACATTTCATATTTAATGATCTAATACTAATATTTCAAAATAAAAGGTTTATTAACAAGCTACCATTAAGATGGCAAAACTGTGTTTATGGTTTAGGCGCATACTTTAATTAATCATACTTCTTCTTGTTTGTAATATAATAAATTACACTTTGCTACCTTTGCTTTTATTAAACAAAGCCACTGCTGAAAATGTTTTGAAGGTCAAAATGCAGACAATTATTTTTTCTCAGCCAAAGAATACATGACATACCACGTTTTTATAAGATCCCTTACATTATCCCTTAATCATAAATGATTCTAAATTTTTACCTCAAAAATAAATTTCTGCCCTATGTTACTGCTGTATTCTGTTATAATATTAAAGTTAAGTATGATTTCTTAGTACTCCTTTCATTTTGCTTTAATGATATTACTAAGTGGAATATGGTGAGAATAAACATAAACTCTCAAAATGTATTTTCAGGGATAAATAGGACTTTACATCATTAAAAGAATCATTCAATTCTTTTTTGTTTGTTCATTTATTTGTTTTAGATCTTGTTCTATTGCCCTGGCTAGAGTTCAGTGGCATCATCATAGCTCACTG